AAATTATGGACCCTAGAACTCACAATCTATTAAAAATGAAGTATTTATTTTTTAAATGTATTTTTAATTTTAGTTAAATATTACTTTCTTGATTTTTTAAAATTTAACAATATTGAATTAGGTATATAAGACAAAATGTCAAAGTCTCTCACTCTTTTTTCTATGATGCTGATCTCCACTGCTAACTACTTGGAACGTATCCTTCCAGACAATTTTATGCATATATTGACATTGATATATACACATAAATATTTTTTCAACAGTGAGATCATACTATATGATCAATGCAACTGCATACTGTTCTACTTCATTTTATTTAAAAAGGCTCCACAGTGCCCCATTTATGTTAATTTTTTCTATCAAGTCCCTTTAATGGATTTTCAGGTTGTTTCCAACTTTCCTCTGGGACAATCATCATTGAAGTAAATGCTGTCATTTGTACTATCTTCACTCTCCTGTCCGAGTAGTTCTGTATGGCAGATTCCTAGAAGTGTAATTACTTAGTAAGAAGTTCTTCCAATGTGCACACCCACCAGTAGTGTATAGGCATGCCATGATTATTCACTCTTCACATAATTGTGAAGGCCTTTCTAAATAGCATCTTTAGGTCTTTATCTTTCCTATTAGTCAATACATAACTCAATTTTGTTTAGGTAATTATACTTGAACTTAACACTGAGTCTTTGATTTTCTGTTTGTGCCATCTTCTAGCTGTGATCTAAAATCTGCCAGGAGCAAAATTATTACTTTCCTGATCCTAACCAGTTTACACAGGTTTTTATAACCTCACTCATTTTTACTGAACTCTTTTACAAATGTTGAACTTAGTAGCTAAGTATTTTGAGATATGTATAGAGGAGTGAAGAATAATGGCAATGAAAGTTCACATAGCTAGAGTGCTTGATCTCAAAGCTTCACAAGCAAGGTTGGATATATTCAATAATCTAACTTCTCATCTAGTTAGCTGTTACCTACCAAATATTAAACTATTTTAAAAGTTAGATAAAGTCTATACATAAGATGTATAAAAACTGAGGGTTTAGGAAACTCCCATTAAAAAACCTATAAGCTTCATATTAAAGGTTCCTTTAAGTAGTTGTGCCCAGAGCACCCTTAGTCAGATTGCAGAGGAGCACCAGTTTGCATTGCCAGAGCCTGGGTACTGCTGAGGGTCCTGTGCCTGCCAAGTCTGGGTACTAGAAAGTCAGAAGTCTCTACTCCTCTTCCAGGCTGTTAGAGCCATGGCTACCTGGCACATTTATAAAATCAACAAAAAGGAGTTGTATACAGTTTGAGTGAAACTGGTTTGCAACCCTTCAAAGTAACCCATATTCTTTTCTCTCTCTCTTTTTGTTTTTTGGTGAGGAAGATTGGCTCTGAGCCAACATCTGTTCCAATCTTTCTCTATTTTTTGTGTGTGGGATGCCACAACAGCATGGCTTGATGAGTGATGTGTAGGTTCACGCTTGGGATCCAAACCCATGAACCCCAGGACACTGAAGTGGGGCACGTGACCTTAACCACTATAGCGCTGGGCTGGCCCCAAAGTAATCCATATTTTGAAATAACCAACTGACTTCCCTATTCAAAGCACAGGTTCTCTTTCTCTCTCTCTCTCTCTCCCCCCTCAGTTATTTTCTTTCCTATCTACTTTACTGCTTGAGAAGCTATAGCAAGGCGCATATTGTGGGATCCATCTAAACTCATGAGAATGCTTTGTGAAACCAATTCCCAGTTTGGCCTTTGTGACAACTGTGAGTCCTCTGGTTCTGACTTGGAAATCTCAGGCCAGTCCTGAAAACTCAGCAACTTGGAGGAATGAGATGCAGAATAGAAAAAACTCTGTAATTTGGCCATGAAGCACCATCAATTAAATACAGTAGCAAAGGGAGAAACAAACTTTTATTAGTAAGCATTTTTTAAAAGACGTTGCATTGAAAATCCACAAGGAGATAATTTGCTTTCTGACAGATAACTTGTTTAATACATCTGTTTATACATCATGCTCTACTCTTTCATTATAAGCAGTGTTCAGACTCTTCTTACTTCTCAAAGATTCTACACTTAAACTGATCAGGATTGGTTCCCACACATTTCCATATGTGCAATACAGCTCTATTTCACTCTTGCCCATGGAACCCACATGCAGGATTCAATAAAAGCAGGTCTTTTCTCCAGGACCTTCTAGTTTACCAAAGAATGGGTTTTAGGGAACAAATATTTGTTCTGAGTCTTTCTTTCTCTCTAATGCTATAACTTAGGGACAAACACATTTGCCCAGCTCACAGTGACACCCTGGTTCAAATAAGGAACATGAGCCACAATAACAGGAATAAAATATTAGTCTAAGCTCAGCCACTTCCAAAGCCATCACTGACCCTCCTTTCCTGCATTGGGGTATGAAGATAATATTGCTGGCATTTCAGGCTCCTGCCAACTTCTACCTTATAACTTGGTATCACTGGTCCGTGGTCCTTGTTCTGTGACGAAATCACTCCTGGCAATTGATGCTATCCTTATCTCTCCTGATGATGTGCCACCAACATTCCCCAAACCTTCCACAGTGTATCCAGGATAATCTTCTTAATAGAAAAATTTGAGGATGTCACTCTCCTTTTCAGAATTGTTCCATGGCTTCCCATTGCCCATATTGGTTCTTGTGTTTAATCTGCATCATAATCTCCTAGCCAGCCTGTTTTAGAAAGTAAAATAAGATTATTCCTGGTCTTCAACCCAAAGATTCTGATTTAGTAGATGAGACCTTATTAATAATTTTCATTTCTAAAAGATATTCTAGAGCAGTGCTTCTCAAACTTAATTGTGCCTACAAATTGTGCCCCTAATCACCTGGGGTCTTATTAAAATGCAGATTCTGACTCAGTAGGTCTGAGGTGGGCTTAAGATGTGGTATTCTGACAAGATCCCAGGTGATGCTGATGCTGCTGGTCCACAGACCACAGTTTGAGCAGTGAGGATCCCGAGAATTCTCTTGAGAATCTGATGCAGACGGTCAAAAACATTGACCTAGACTTGAGGGTAAAATTTAGAGCACCTAGCAAGGAATATTTCCAACACATCTAACTTCCTCTTTCATCACTGATTTTTCAGCATCCTGCTTCCTTGCTGCCTTTTCTCCTTAAATATCTCCCACTTCTGTCCTTTATCTCTTAGCAATGCCGCACGACACAGACTCCTGCATACATGACAAGATATCACCTGCTTCCGTGCTTTGTTCACCCTCCCTCTGATTATCCAGCAGGTTCAATTAAAGATAACTTTTATTCTCTCCAGGGGCCTTCACTGATCAAACCAATATCTTTTCTATGAATGAAATATTTATTTTTAAAAGATAGTTTTCCTTTTTGTTTAATTTTTATAGCTCTGCTTTTGTAGCACCAAATTCTTTTGTTTTAACTTTATATATTTCTGCCTGCTTGCATTTAAATCCCCATTACAATCTTCCTTGAGTCTTTGTATATATTAAAAAAAATGTGCTAACAATTTCACCATTTGCATTTTTCTTTACACTTTTTGCTGTTTCAACTTAGTGTGGACTCTATTCTGATAATGGTTATGTTTCCAATTTAAGAATAGTCTATAGCCACATTACCTGCTTGCTGATTCACGAAGAGTTTTATCCACAGGGACTTCATTTATTACAAATGATTGCTTGGACTAGGTCAGACATCTTTGTCAACACTATCAGAAAGTCAACTTCCTAACCAGGAATTAAAATGCTACTTTGCAACATTTCTCCTTTCTTATCTTCTGAATAATCCCTTCCTAAAAGAACCTTTATATGCAATGATTTGCACCACACTGTTTTTTTTTAAGGAATACATAATCAGTAATGCATTTTCTTTTTTGTCAAAAACATGTCATGCGTACATAGACTATATTTTGACAACCATAATTTAGAATTGATTTATCACTTACCTGTGTTGTTTTCCTTCTTCTCAGAAGAAGTCTGCACATTTACTAATAAATTAGCCAATGATATTTTCGATTTGTTATTAATCTCAGTGTCAACAAATAATTTCATCTGCAGTATTAAGTTAATCAAGGAAGTTTCCCTCAAACATGCTGAAATTTATCCCAGTGACGTCAAATGGCTTATATGTGATTATATTTACCATTCAATTTAATTCCATAAATACTTATGGCACATTAAAGAGAGTCAATAATAAACTACAGTTCATCCAAAGATGAGTTCACAGGAAAAGTGAGGACTATTGATTTTCTAGTAACCGAAAGTTCTTGGTCTCTTCAATATATGTCTTTCTATGAATTTTTGTTGAACTAGATCTGTCATTTCAGAAATATCTTGATTTCTGTAAGTAAAAATACGAGTTCTCATTTATCTCTCTCTTATATTTCATCTTACCACCTTGGGATCAGTTCATATTCCGTACTCTTAAATTTAATTGTAACATCCAATGTATTACTTATTCCTGCCAACTGAAAAATGTGTTAAACTTGCCTTTTTCTCTGCCCAAATTGTTGAAAAACATTAAATCATGACAGGAATAGTTACATAGAAGGTGCCATAGAAGACCTCCCTTGTGTACTGTAGCGTTACTAATTCTTAACTTTGAAGAGAGCTTATCTTCCTGAAATGTCTCCCTGAAGAAACAATAAAATATAACTTGTCTTTTTCTAAAATTACTATCCTGGTAAGAGCTATAATGATATGCTATTGAGAACAATTTTTTATTGAAATAGTCTTGTCCATAGATGCAGATTCATTTTTTTCTTTTATTGTAGGAAAGGACATTTCCTTAAGAATAATGGTAAACATCCAGGTTTAGTTATTTCTTTTTTTTAATGAAATGAATATATTGGCACCTTAGTCTCTTTGAAAACCTTCCATTTTTCATTGATAGCTTACACTTTGTTTTACTCATTTATGGAGTAAACCAGCAGTTGATTTTTTTTTTTTTTGCTTTGTTTTATGATTACTTAAATGCAAACGAATTTATTTCAATATTTTCACTTTTCAGAATATTTTTCTCAGCACTTGGGTGAGTATGAGAATGTGCTCGCGGCACTTGAAGACCTAAATCTTTCCATCCTGAAGGCAATGGGCAAAACAAAAAAAGTAAGGAAATGTTGATGTTTATTTTCTATAAAAATCTCTTTTTTGAAAAAATTTTTCTTGAAAGTCATACATCTTTCTAATGTATCATAAAAGTATCCATTTGTTTATCACTGATAATTTATTTTTCTTGATATTAAGTGAGCTATTCTATTCATTCACAACATAATTACAAAATGCTTACTAGGTGCCAGATACTGTGCTTCATGATGAGAATACAAAGAGCTGTTCAAGCAGCTCTTATTTTGGTGGGGAGATAATGGTGTAAACAAGCAATTGCAATGTAGCATGGCAGGGAGAAGCACAGGATCAAACAGCTAATTCATACTGGAGGAAATGGCACTTGAGCAATTAGAGATAAAGAAAATAGTTATAACCAGGCAAAAGACACCTAGACACATGGAGCAGCATGTGCAAAAGCCCTGTGTCAGGAGGATTCAGGGCATTGATGGAAATAAAGGTGGTCAATAAGACTAAAGTCCAGAAAACCCAAGAGTGGCATGGTGTGAGATGAGACTGGTGTGATAGGGAGGGGCTATACCTTTCACAATGTTGTTGGCATACCTAAGAATCTAGGCCTATATCTTAAATGCAAATAAAACAGCCACTATTTTAAGCAGAGATGTGAAAGCACATGCAGTCTTTTGAAAAGACGCTACAAGAATTAGCTTAGGATTAGAGTGGGGAATGTGGGGCAATAGAATCAGGAAGGGGAATCAAATTGGAGGTTGGTGTCAAGATGGTGGTGGAACCAGACTCTGAACTCACCTCCTCCCATAGACACAACAAATTTACGACTACTCTTGGAACAATTACCCCTGAAAGAGAATTGAAAACTGGATAAAAAGAACCTCTGCAACAAGGGACAGTCCTGATTGAGGTGGAAGAGGCAGAAATTCCTTTCTAGAGAGAAAAAAAGCCACCTTCTAGCCACAGTGCTTCAAGGCTGGCTGGGAGCCATCTTAAGATATGCAGCCTTCCCTGGAGGAGTGGGGAACCTGAATGGGGATGTGTTACCACTATAAGCATCTTTTGGACTCAGCACAAGCAAGATGAAAGTCATAATATCTGGCTTTGATGGTTATTAGAAATGATGGGGAATACCCCCAGAAAAGCTATCAGACATGAGGGGAAAAAAGCCAGCTCTTAAAGGGCCCATGCAGAAATTCACATGTTTCAGAAAGCAACCCAAAATCACCAGAAAGAAATGTACACGTTCCTTTGGTGAAAAGAGACTTACCTGATATGTTCTGGGTGCATCTTGGTGAGAGATGAGACCTCTCTAGAGATTGAAACATTGGCAGCAGCCATTATTATGACCTAGTACAGGTATGCTGACACAGACACTGGCAGATACCATTGCAGTTCTTCCCCTGGCCTGCAACAGGAATGTACCATTAGACCTTGCAGCCAACTGTGTTGGGGCTCGCCAAGCCCGATAAAGTGACTGAAGGGTCCAAGGCAGCCACAAGCAGCTGAGCACTACAACCAGCTAGTAAGGGGGACAGCCTAGCCTCCCTGGGCACCTGTAGCAAGAGCAACTCTGCCACAACAGAAGGACATACATAGCCAAACAGGGGTCATTCCTGGAAGATTTGGAGCTGGTGATGAGAGGGAAGCACACTGCTGGGCCTTATAAGGCATCTGTTACATAAGGCCACCTCTCCAAGATCAGGAGACACAGCTGACTCACCTAATACATAGAAATAAGCACAGAGAAAGAAGCAAAATGAGGAGGCAAAAGAATACATTCCAAGTAAGGGAACAGGACAAAAACCCCAGAAAGAGAGCTAAATGAAACAGAAATAAACAATCTACCTGACAAAGAGTCATAAGGATGCTCACTGATGTTGGGAGAAGAATGGATGAACTCAGTGAGAACACCAACAAAGAACTGGAAAATATAAAAAAGAACCAATCGGAAATGAAGACTACAATACTGGAAATGAAAAATTCACTAGAGGGACTCAATAGCAGAGTAGATGATACAGAAGAACGGATCAGCAAGCTGGAGGATAGATGAAAGACTAGAGGAAATCACCCAAGCTGAACAGATAAAAAAGAATTGAAAAGAATGAGAACAGTCTAAGGGACGTCTGGGACAACATCAAGTGCACTAACATTCCCATATGATAGGTGTCCCGGAAGGAGAGAGACAAAGGGACAGAGAATCTATTTGAAGAAATAATAGAAGAAAAGTTTCCTAACCTAAAGAAGGAAATAGAAATCCAGGGAAAGGAAGCACAAACAGCATCAAACAAGATAAACCCAAAGAGGCCCGCACCGAGACACATTGTAATTTAAATGTCAAGAATTAAAGATAAAGAGAGAATTCTAAAAGTCACAAGAGAAAGGCAAAAGTGACATACGAAGGAAACCCCATAAAGCTATCAGCTGACTTCTGAGCAGAAACCTTACAGGTTAGAAAGGCGTGGCATGATGTATTTAAAGTACTGAAAAGAGAAAACCTTAGTCAAGAATACTCTACTCAGCAAGGTTATCATTCAGAATGGAGGAGGGATAAATAGTTTCCCAGAGAAGCAAAAATTAAAGATGTTTATCACCAAGAAACCAGTCTTAGAAGAAATGCTAAAGGGATTTATTTAAGTAAGAAAGAGAAGACCACAAATAGGAATAAGAAAATTCTAAAAAAAAAAAGGCAATAAAATCACTGGTAAAGGCAAAAATACAGTAAATGTGGCAAATCAAGCACCTATGAAAATAATATGAAGGTCAAATGACAAAACAGGCAAAATTACCTATTTCTATGACAAGAGGGTAACGTATACACACATACAGACATGCAAAGAGGTTAGATATGGTATCAGAGACATAAACTGTGGGAGGAGGGGAGTAAGAGAACAGAGCTTTTAGAAGAGGTTGAACTAAAGAGCCTATCAACTTAATATAGATTGCTATATATGTAGGTTATTATAAATGAACCACATCATAATCACAAACCAGAAACCTGTAATCAATACACAAAAAATTAAGAGAAAGAAACACAAACATAATACTAAAGATAGCCACCAAACCACAAGGGAAGAGAGCAAGAGAAGAAGGGAATTAAGAATAAGTACTAAAACACCCAGAAAAAAAGTAACAAAATGGCAATAAGTACTTACTTATCAATAGCTACTTTAAATGTCAGTGAACTAAATGCTCCAATCAAAAGGCATAGGGTGGCCAATTGGATAAAAATAAAACAGACCCATATATAAGCTGCATACAAGAGACACACTTCAGATCTCAAGACACTCACAAACTGAAAGTGAAAGGATGGAAAAAGATAATTCATGTAAATGGAAAAAGATAAGAAAGCTGGGTAGCAGTACTTATGTCAGACAAAATAGACTTTAAAATAAAAACAGTAGCAAGACACAAAGAAGGGCACTACATAATTTTAAACGGAACAATTCAACAAGAGGATATAACACTTGTAAATATCTATGCACCCAAAATAGAAGCACCTAAATATATAAAGCAATTATTAACAGACATAAAAGGGGAAATAGACAGTAACCCAATAATAGTAGAAGACTTTAACATTCCACTTAAGCCAATGGATAGATCCTCCATACAGAAGATCAATAAAGAAACATTGGCCTTAAATGACCCATTAGACCAATGCACTTAGTAGATATATAAAGACCATTCCATCCAAAAACCATGGGATACACATTCTTTTCAAATGCACATGGGACATTCTCCAGGATTGTTCACATATTAGGCCATAAAAAAGTCTAAATAAATTTAAGAAGATCGAAATAATGCCAAGCATCTTTTCTGACTACAAAGGTCTGAAACTGGAAATCAACTACAGGAAGAAAATCAGAAAAGCCACAAATATGTGGAGATTAAACAAAATGCTACTGAACAACAATTGGGTCAATGAGAAATCAAAATAGAAATAAAAAAATACCTTGAGACAAGTAAAAATGAAAATACAACATACAAAAATCTATGGGATACAGCAAAAGAGATTCTAAGAGGAAAGTTTATAGCAATACAGGCTTACCTCAACAAACAAGAAAATGTCTAATAAACAACTAACAGTGCACCTAAAGGAAGTGGAAAGAGAAGAAAAGAGAAAGCCTAAAATCAGTAGAAGGAAGGAAATAATAAAAATCAGAGCAGAAATAAATGCAATAGAGACTAAAAAAAAGATAGAAAAAAATCAATGAAACCAAGAGCCAGTTCTTTGAAAAGATAAACAAAATTGATGAACAGTTATCTAGACACACAAAGAAAAAAGGAAGGAAAGCTCAAATAAATAAAATCAGAAAAGAAAGAGGAGAAATTACAATGGTCACCTCAGAAGTACAAACAATTATAAGAGAATACTCTGAAAAGCTATACACCAACAAATTGGATCATCTCTCAGAGACAGATAAATTGTTAGTATTGTACAACTTTCCAAAACTGAATCAAGAAGAAATACAGAATTTGAATAGACCAATCACCAGTAAGGAGATCGAAACAGCAATCAAAAACCTCCCCAAAAATAAAAGTCCAGGACCAGATGGCTTCCCTGGTGAATTCCACCAAACATTCAAAGAAGACTTAATACCTATCCTTCTCAAACTTTTCCAAGAAATGGAAGAGGAGGGGAAACTTCCTAACTCATTCTACAAAGCCAACATTACACTGATACCAAAACCAAACAAGGACAACACAAAAAAAGAAAATTACAGGCCCAGATCATTGATGACCATCCATGCAAAAATCCTCAACAAAGTACTAGCAAATCGAATACAACAATACATTAAAAAGACTGTACACCATGATCAAGTGGAATTTATTCCAGGGATGCAGGGATGGTTCAACACCTGCAAATCAATCAATGTGATACACCATATTAACAAAATGAAGAATAAAAATCATATGATCATCTCAAAAGATGCAGAGAAAGCATTTGAGAAGATACAGCATCTATTTACGATAAAAACTCTAAATAAAATGGTTATGGAAGGAAAGTGCCTCAACGTAATAAAGGCTATAAA